CACACAGGCTGCATCTGCTTCGTCCTCCTGGGGCCCCCGCCCTCCTGGCCTCATTGTTCACCTGTGTCACTTCTGCACCTGCTGGGTGGGAATTTCATCCACTTCACTTAATCCAAGCAATCTCCAGGGCACGCCCTTCATCCCCTCAGCTCTCAAATGCTCAGCACCTGCCCCTGTGCTCTAAAGCCACCCGTCATCATCCTCTCTCAGACCCTAGGGTGCAGCTGTGGTCCCTCAGGTGCCTCTGCCACCAGTGGGAAAGGTGAGGAAGGCAGCCCAGACCCTTCCCATCTCAGCTCCATGAGGCAGGGACAAGGTCGTCGAGCTCAGCCTGGCAGACCCGCTGCGGACCCACAGACCCCCGACACGGCAGGGACTCCAGCAATGTGTGCACCTGCAGACAAGGTCATACCGCATGGGCGCAGCATCCCGGCCCCGGTGGGCTGAGGGCAGACACCCGGGAGACCTCCCGAACGCAGGGAGGGGACACGTGCAGATCATGTGTGTTACAGATTCTTCAGCCTCTGTACAGTCTTACTCCTAAAGTCAGAAGGAAAGGGAAAACAAATTCACTCTGGGAACAGATGCACCGTCCACTTGCAAGCAGCACCGAGACACCACGGTGCAAACACATGTGTGAAGATTGTTTCTACCTCATAGTGAACAGAATTCATAAAACCTCAAACACAGTCACATGGAAACACACTCACATGTAAAAACTGCCTTTTTTAAAACTTAAGTCACAAAGAAAAATATTTCAAATAAGAATATGCCTAAGATACAAAATTAAAATGTATCGTGGGGGGAGGGGGAGGGATAAATTAGGAGTTTTGGGTTCACAGGTACACAGTCGCATACATAAAACAGAAACATGACAAGGACCGACTCCAGAGCCCTGGGAACTGTCTTCAACATCTTGTAAAACCCTATAATGGAAAAGAACCTGAAAAGGAGTATGTGAATGTACAAACGAATCACCCTTCTGTACGCCTGAAACACTGTAAGTCAATACACTTCCCAAAATAATAACAACAGGTATCATAGGGCCTGTTTCAGAGAAATTAAATGATTTATAAATAATGCATGATTTGCTTTGGTGATGACTTTAGATATTTGCCATTTTATTTTCACTTAGTTCATTTAAAAGCTCACAGTCACCCACCTGTCATCAGAGAGCAAACGGATAGTCTGCTTTGTCTCCTGCATCCACTAATAAATCCCAAAACTGCCTCAGTTCAGATTCCAGCAATACACACCCAGAACTTCCCAGTGATGTGCACACCTCAGTTTGGTTTTCTGGGTTTGGAGAGTCAGATCATAATAGGCCCAAGCTTGAAGTTTTGACAAAATAGTGTAACCTTGATGTCCTTTCCGGTCACAGGTCATTAAGTTTTCTATCATTGTTAAACAGCTCTGCACTCTCCCCCTGATAGGAAGCACTTTTTGCCCCCAGTGCCCTGTCTGGCGTCTCTGATCCACATAGAAGCCATGTCCAGGTTCGCCTGGGCCCAGCAGTGCTAGAGGGAAGTTAAGGTTTTAACTCATCCCCTGTTTAACATTTAACGTATTTGCCATTTTGCTCTTACAGAAAATGTTGGAACATAGAAGCCATGTCCAGGTTCGCCTGGGCCCAGCAGTGCTAGAGGGAAGTTAAGGTTTTAACTCATCCCCTGTTTAACATTTAACGTATTTGCCATTTTGCTCTTACAGAAAATGTTGGAACAAGGCCCTTTGGCATAGTTTCTGCACGTATGTGCTCTGTGCTTGTAGAAAAGGTTCTGAGAAGAGACTGTTTTGTCAAAGGACACAGAGAACGTTCAAGTGTGAGGTAACATTGAAATACAGTGAAGATTACTCAGCACAACCCTGTCGGAACACACGCCAGCCTCCCACCAGAGCCTCCCCGTCCCCGAGAGAAGACCCTGCTCTTCAGAGCTGAGGGCACACACAGAGGAGGATGTCTCTGGTCCCCAGGGAGGAGTCACACACAGGAGGGGTCCCTGTGTCCTGCTCACACAGATGGGCCTGAGAGGACAGGGGGACACAGGAAGGGCACCTGGCCTGGCACTAAGGTGGGGACATTGGACAGAGCAAGGGACAGGAACTGTCACTGAAGTGTGCTGGTCACCAGGTCACAAAATGTGTATCTGGGCCTGAACACCAGGGGGCGCTCGGGATCTGGGCCTGAGGGTCTTGGGGGAGGGGAACTGGGACCATCCCCTGGCCATGCTTCTTGCCTTCTGCTCAGCTGTGACTCATGCCACCAACCTCTGGGACACACACAGCCCCACCCCTGCTTACCAGCTGCCCCTTCAGGCAGAGGGACCTGACCCTAGGCCCAGGGAGGGATCAGAGGGCTGAGGGAGGTCATTTGCATGACTGGCCCCTCCCTCTGTCAGAGTATGAAGAAGAAGAGAGAACTGGGGACACTCTACTCATCTGTGGGGCCACAGAAGACAGGACAGTGACTACCACCACCATGGCCTGGTCCCCTCTCCTCCTCACCCTGCTGGCTCACTGCACAGGTGACTGGATGAGGGACAGGGGAAGGGGCCCTGGGAGGACACCTGGGCCTTGCGTCTTCTTGTATCTGGGCCCCAGAACCAGCATCTCTGTCTCTCCCCCTTGCAGGGTCCTGGGCCCAGTCTGTGCTGACTCAGCCGCCCTCCGTGTCTGGATCCCCGGGCCAGAAGTTCACCATCTCCTGCACTGGAAGTAGCAGCAACATCGGGGATAATTATGTAAACTGGTACCAACATCTGCCAGGAACGGCCCCCAAACTCCTGATCTACAGTAACAGCAATAGGGCCTCGGGGGTCCCGGACCGCTTCTCTGGCTCCAAGTCTGGCAGCTCGGCCTCCCTGACCATCACTGGGCTCCAGGCTGAGGACGAGGCTGACTATTACTGCTCATCCTGGGATGACAGCCTCAGTGGTCACACAGTGCTCCAGGCCCATGGGGAAGTGAGACAGAAACCTGCTGTCCCCCAGCCATGGGGCTCCCTGGGCAGAGACTCCCTCTGCCAAGTCAGCTGCTTCCTTTGTTTGCTTGGCAAAGAAACAAACCCCAGTGAACTTACTCTAGTGAAAGTGTCCTCATCATTTCAAAACCTGCCTCCAAATCCTGTCCTTGGTTTACACACGTCGCCTGATGTTCTCGGATGGAGTGAGATCCCTGGGTGCTGGGTCAGGCGGCCCTGGGGACAGAGGCACGGGAGCTGTGATAAGTATCATGGCTGCTGTCACACCACACAGTGACTGGGCAGCTTTACTAACAGACACGGGTGTTCTCACAGTCCTGCAGGCTGGACGTCCAGGACCACGGTGATGGCAGGGTGGTCTCCGCTGAGGCCTCCCTCCTGGACTTGCTGATGGCTGTGTTTTCACTGTGTCCTCACGTGTCCTTTACTCCGTGTGCTCACCCCACTGTGTCTTCCTGTTCTTAGAGAGACACCAGAACTGTTTCCTAGGGCCCCTCCCGAATGACCTCGTTAATCTGAATCTCCTCCTTCAGTGCCTTAGATCCAAAGCCAGTCACATTGGGTTCAGGCTTCAATATATGGTTTTGAGGAAGCACAGTTTAGTGCATATCAGGGAATCTGGACAGAGCCCGGGACACAGAGTATGGATGCAACTGATTCAATCATCAGCCACCCAGACAATGAGAATCCTCACCATTTTCTGATCACAGTATGTCCCAGAGAGTGTCTCTAGGCTCAGGACACTGTGTGTAAAATACAGGAAGGGTCCTCCTGCTCAGGGGCCTGACACTGTCTGGGGAAAAGAGAGGACACATAAAACAGATTTAAAATGAAGGGTGCGTCACAGAGTCATAGTGGTGGTGAGGGTGTAGGTTGGGAGACAGGAGCCTGGTGTGCTGCAGGGAGTCCGCAGAGTCTGGTTTGGGTGATGAGATCTGGGGGCTGCACAGAGGATGAAGGGGTCAGAGGTGAGTTTGGAGGTGAGACCAGGTAGGGGTGTGGGAGACACTGTTTGAGACTCTGAGTCCTGGAGGCAGGGAGGGGCATGTGATGGGGGAAAGGAGGGCAGATTCCCCTTGTCGTGGAGGAGGAGGGACTGAAGATCATCATCGGGAAGGAGAGGCCCTGAGCTGGTTGTTGGAGACGGGGTCGGGGGTGTGAGCTCAGTCCACTGTCCCAATGTGTTGACACTCGGGTGACACCAGGTTAGTTAAACTCAGCATCTCAGGAGGTTGACCAGCTCCTGACTCACCAGGAATCCCAGGAACGCTTGTCTGTAGGTTACTCACCTCCACATTTAAAGACAAAGTCCCCTGTACCTGGTTACTTTCAAATGTTGCAGGAAGCGAAGGTGGGGGATGAGCTCTGCCCCTGCGACCTCGATGCTGCCTCCAGGGTAGAAACCTGCACTTGGGAGAAGCAGGGAAGCCACTGTCTCTGCCCCATTACTGCCTCTGAGCCTCAGACAGTGGGGCTCTCTAGATGCTTCTGGAAATTTGTTCCTGTAGCAGTGGCTGATCATACGTACTTGGCTCCACCAGTAACTGTCTTGATGAGGAAAAAAGGCCACAGGATGCGTCAGGCTGAGATGGTAGAGACTTGGCTCCAATCAAGACCCTGGGCACTGGGTCCTCTGTACCCTCCACAAGCTCCCCACACTCCTTGTGGGGACTGGAAGGCTGTGCTGTGGGCTGGCATTAGGGCAGGCTCCGTGAGTCCCAGGACAAACAAAATCTAGTGGGAAAATGAAAGAAACTCTGCTAGAAATCAAATTGGGATGGAATGCAGTGAAAATCACAAATCCACACTGCGGTAGGAAGAAGGAGGAAGGACTTAGGCAGGCTTTACACTGGAATAAAAAGTAAATGGTCAGATGACCCTGGTGCCTGGGTCAAGATGCTTTCTGGGGTCACTGGGCAGAGTTGGGGCTGGAGGATGAGATGTATGAGCCCGCAGGTGCCCTGGGGACTGTTGGTGATCTCTGGGTTCTGGACCAAGACAGCTGGCAGATACTCCAGGAATCTCTCCCTGCCGACGGGCAGTGTCCTCACGGAGGGTGATCTTCTGCACCCGGGCCCCTGAGGCACATGAGCTCCCACCTCTGACCACACACTTGCCTCGGGGAGTCATTGCTCAGGCCATGTCCAAGCAGGACAGTGTCATGTCAGGAACAAATCTGCAAATAAAAATCTTCTGCGATGCTCCTGAGTCATAGTAAAGGGACAGCTGGGGAGGGGAGGGTCAGAATTCCAACAACTGGACTCAGCAAGACGAGCTCTGGGGCATCCCTGTCAGGGTCCTGATCCCTGTTTC